TATTAAATGAGAGTGTTTTGTATATTATATTTAAAAACAACACTTATAATATGAATTTTTATATAAAAACTTAATTTAGACGTATATCAAATATACTTTTTTATAGTTAATTTATATTTAATGAAAAAAAGAAAAATATTAAGTTTTCTTAATATATATATTTAATATTTATTAAACCTTTGAAAGATTAACAAATTTAAGTAAAGAAACATCTGGCCAATAATTACGACCAAAAAAAGTTTAAGGAAGAAGTAGAAAAAAATCAATAGGTTAGATTTAAGTTTTTAAGACTCTTTATAAGCTTTATAACACTATAAAAACAAAATCTAATACTAACATATAACTTTTAAAGATGACAAAAAAAAACTGAAAAAATAAAGAATTTTGCCGACTGATGCAAACCAAATTTGCAAAATAAAAAAAAAATAAAAGAAATTGAGAATACACGAGACAATATATTTACACACGAATTTACATACTTATTAATATGACATAAACAACTGAAATAAAATAAATTACATTTCAAGATATAATTATTAAAAAATAAATAAAACAACTGATTTTAATAGATAAAAACTATTTAAGAAATAAATAATTTAGTAAATAATTTAAGAAATAAAGTGTAAAAATCTTCTTTTTAAAACAAAACAGAAGGGCAAAGAATATGTTATACAGCCCTAAAATATACCCCTCAAATTTTTTTTTTAAAACCGTAGAATACTAGAATAAATTAAATGTATCATTGGTCCAACAAAAAAAAAGACGCAGTAATTACATAGTCAACTTAGCACTTGATATGAATCTATGTTAAGCAAATATTAAAAATGCGGATATTAAAGTTTAATTTACAGATTATATTCTAAATTTGTTTAACAATCTATAATTTATTGTAGTTATTATTCAATATCGTAAATCATTAATACTTGTTAACAAAAGCGGAGCCAGCTGATAAAAAAGTGGGTTGGTTTAAATATTTGCATCAGTCGGCAAATGGGTGTGTTAAAAAATCACTATATTTTTTTTTTTCCCTTAAAATATAACTTTATAAATATTTTCAATCAACTTCCATCATTTTTTACGCTCATTTCACATCAAAAATAATTTAAAAATCTAAAAAATAAAAATTTAATTTTACTAGAAACAATTTCTTCAAATAATTGTTGCTCAATGAATAAATGTTTATCAGAAGAGTAACCAGCCGCTTTTCCACTTTTGCCTCGTTTATTTCAAAGCGAACTGCAACAGAATTTATTGTTGTTAAAAAACAAAAATTAATGTTTAGAAATAATTTACGTATTAAAAAATATAAACTTGGCAAGTTTAGATTAAAACAAATTAATACTATGTTTTATTATTTCATAGTAAAAGTGTTTACCTATATTGACTCTCAGGCTGCGACCGCCCCGGAAAAATCATTTTAATAATTCATGCAGTTAAATATAATTGGCATATCTTAAATTAATAACAACGCGTATGTAGGATAAATCGGTAATTTGCTAAAGGAGTTGGTTGTAACAAAGCCGTTTGAATGATTTTTCATTTTAAAAATTTAATAATTTTTTTTTACGACTTATTTTTACAACTACAACACATTAACTAAATTACAATAAATTCAATTTGTAGCTATTGCATCTAAAAAAGGTATAAATGTTTACTGTGTAATAAAACGAAAGTATAACTAAAATCAACGTTGAATAAAAGACGCTACATAAACAAACCGTTCAAATATTAATCTTAACGAGCTTTTAACTTTGAATCAGCGTTTATTTGTTTAAACTAAATCGCTGTTATATGAAAGGTTGAATAAGTATTTAAATTATAACGTAATTTAGCTTCTTAAAAAAAACATGTTTATTCGTCTTGATGAAAAAATTAAAAAAAGTTGAAGACTTGGCATGAAAAGTTATAGCAAAGCGCTTTTTTAACGTAACTAGAAAAAATAAACGATAAAATCGCGTTGACAATGTCTCACATTATCACGTAATTAAAATCCTACCTTGACAAGGTTGCTAAAATGTTTGTTTTTTTGAAACTTTGATAAAACGCCACTTTGTCAATTTTAAGAAGTATCACTTTGTCAACGTTGATAAAGTTTGACATTGACTTTTTGCCTTCGATTATGACTTAAACTTTGCCGAATATAAACGCAATCAAAGTTATTAATGACCGTATCAAGTGTTAGTATAACTTATTTGCAACCAAACTATAGCATCTTTAAACTTTAGATGTAATAGTTTGTTTGTCGCAGCATTAGGGTGACTAAATATTATACAAGTTAGCAGTAAATAATTTATGTTTATAAAAAGATGCATATATCCAAGCAATAAACTTTAGTTTGCGCATTTGTTATTGTTGGACTAGCAAAGCGTTTTAGTTGGCCGTATGTTGGCGTAGTGTTGGCGTGTAACCAGCTGCCCATAGCACCTACGTATATACTTAGCATTGTTGGCTAAACGTTGGGCCACTCTTGATTTTAAATTATAGACTAAAAGTTGGTCGAAACAACTGTTACAGTTGACAACGTGTTGGCATAATACATATTTTACTAGGTAAGTCTTAGGTTGGCGCATCCTTGGTGTAAGGTTGCAGCAGTCATGTTTTCTTAACGAAGTGCTACGATTGGCAATGCGTTGGTATATGATCGGTTACTTGTTGGATTTACGTTATTACTGTGTTTACCTAATGATGTTGACAATACATTGGCCCAAATTTTCAGTTAATAACAAAAAATCTACTAAATTTTAATCTTTTAATTGGTTGAATGAAGTGCTACAGTTGGCGTAATGCAATATCACTAGTTTGACGTTGCATATGGCCACCATTAGGTTTGAACTATCTAATAGGTATAACTTAAACTGTTTTGCAACAACTATATGTTAGTGCTGCTGTATTATCTGAATTATGTAGGGTAGAGAGGTAAGAAGTGGCACTTCAAAAATTACAAGTAAATTAATTTTAATACCTTTTTTATGTGATGTATGAACTTCATTTAACAAGTTATAAAAAATAAAGCATGATTTTGGGCACTGATTCAATCCTTTGAGATTGCAACTGAATTATAATTATGTATAAAATTTTTTGATTTTAAAGGAGCCTTGTCATTGAGGTAAAGTGGAACAAGTGTAGGTTAAGTGAAGTAAGCGCCCAGTGGGCACGGGTCGTCTGGAGGACGTCCGTAAAACGTCCGACGGACGTCTCCCTGACGACGCATGCCCACTAGACGGGAGTTGAGACATAAATACCTGTCAACCTGTCATTCAAATATATTACGTATGTAGTAGATTTTCAAATCTTTAATCATAAAAAAATAATTTCCTCTTTCAGGTGATTATCTAGCTTGTTTTTAGTATTACTCAAGGATGATGCATTTACAACGTCATTTGGGAGGGTGTTCTATTTGTTGACAACTAGTAAAAAGAAAAAGTTTTGACGAAAAGATAAGCGAAAGTAAGGTTTTTTTAGATTAAATCAATATCCTTTTGTAAAAGAGCTAATAATTGTTTTTAGAAAGATCGTTTGATAGTAATAGCAGTTATTTAGCCATTTATAGTCGTTTATTAAATCTCATCGGACTGGTATGTATCTATTGGTATGTATCGTTGTCAAACTAATTTAGATGCTCTTCGGAGTATATCTTCAGCTTGTTGTTTGTCTTTAAATAAACGAGGGTTATATACAAATATAACGAGGATTATATACAGACCCACAATATTCTAAATATGGTCAAACTAGTGCTGAAAACAGTCTTTCAAAACAAAATAAATTTAGATAAGGGAAGGATTTTTTTATGAGAAATATCATTTGCATTGCATGTATGGAATTAGCGGACCTTATGTGACTATACAAAATTGATTACTTTTGCCGATTTTATGTTTAACCATCGGTTTTCAAAAATTCTACTTATTTGAATAATTATTTACGTAAAAAGAGTTTTTTGATTTAAAACAACAATTTTCTGTTCATAGGCGTTCAAGTCAGCCAAAAAATTGTTTTTTCAAATATAAACCGAAATGAACTAATCTGACAATTTTACAGAATCAATGATTTAAGGCCCCCTGAAAAACATATGCATACATATTATTATGCTTTAACGTCCCCCTGAAAAACATATGCATACATATTATTAGGGCTCTCGAAATGATTTTAACAAAAAAATTTACACTTACTCGTTAAGACTGTCTCGAGAACTGGATTGGTTTGATAATTTGTTCAAATCCTAATTTGTTTCAAGAAGGTTGTGTTACAAAAAAAATAAAAAAAATAAATTTCATTAATATAAATACATTTTATTCTATATACACATGTTTTATTTGTATAATTCTATTCTTATAGTATTTTTACAATTCGTTACCATTTTGATTTAACTTCCGGAAATACACTTCTGAAATTGTAAGATAATATTCACAGCATTTTATATATCAAGAAAATTAGGTAAAATATAAAATCAAAGACAAGCAGGGCTTTGCTTTTTGCAAGTTAACTATGAGTTAGTGCTGATGATCATGATAATGTAACTATCATGATAATGTCATTAGCATGATAATGTCATTACCATAATAATGTTATTATCATGCTAATGTCATTATCATGATAATGACAGACAACTTTATTAAAAATTTGAATTATTTTCATCGTCAATAATCTATGAATTTAAAGATTAATCGGTCGTTCCAATACCAATGCTGTTACACTCTAGAGTGATAAATTTTCTAAAAAATTAAAAAGCAAATTAATTAGGCAGTATTTTGTTTAAAAAAATTTATTTGATAGACAAAAAAACTATAATAACTATAAAAAAAATACTGAAAAGCCGTGATTTAGTGTCTAAATTATATTTACAAAACAATATATATACATTTTAGTTTAAAAATTAACATCAGTTTGTTATTTAAAGATACACCCATATGCTATTGCTACATGTAAATATCTATTTTGAAAAACTGACTAACGGTAGAAATTTTACCATTTATATATAGTTTCAACTATATGCTTAACAATTGTAAATATATATAATAACTTACTTGTGCCTTTTTCGAATTTGATCGTTCAAAACTAATTTCTTTACCCGTCTTTCTCTTTCCTTTGTCTGTGCTGATAAGATTTGAATAGTGAGGTCTTCCTTTGCATACTGTATAAATAATGAACAATTTTTTCAGAAAGAGCTTTAGATACAGCATTCAAAGCATAAGTTTTTATCGCTTAAAAACTTATGTCTTACTCTACCAAAAATAAAATTTATTTTTTTGCTGTTAAAACAACTATTGTAGAAAAGCAAGCTGAAAAATTTAAAAGAGATTAGATTCAATCTCATAAAGTAGCGCAAAAAGAGATTTGATTTTTGCATATGGGCAACCTGTTCAAAATTATGCAATAGGGCTCTTTTCACTTTTTCCTCAAATGTATTTTTTAAGAAAGTAAATATTAGGGCCTGTTTAAAGGTTTAACCATTAAGGTAAAATATTATTATAAATTTTGATAATCAACACCCTTTTAATAAAAGATTTCAACATTTTTTTTTGTGCACATTCCTAATAGTAACTTTTTAGGATTTCTTAAGAAAAAAATTAAGATTCAATATTATTGTTTATTGTATGTTTTGATTATATGATTATTATTATTTATTGTATGTTTTAATGCTATGTTTTGTAATACAATGCTTTTTATATCCAAGGATACTGTTGGCATGGCAAAGAAATAATTTTATTACTAACCCTGAGTAGTTTTTGTTGACCAAATATTTGCGTACCAACAAGTACCAACCAAGTACCAACGTTTCTTTTAGGTTTTTATAGTTTTTTTTCTAGACCAACCGCAGGAACCTTACTAGAAACCTCGTACCGTTATTTAATTTTGAGGAAAATAAAAGTTTGAATGTGAAACCTTTTTTCCTATAAAAAAAAAGTTATCTCTTTAAGGCGTGTTGAATTCACAGGCTTATATAATTATATAATTATAACATAAATTATAGTAAATTACCTATTCAAGTAAAAATATCTATTGAACTTCAAAAAATTTTTATTTTTAATTTTGAAAAATTGAAAAAGATTAAAAAATAAATAAATGTAAAAGAGCAAGGATTTGAAACGCGGCATTTCACTTCACAATGTTGCAACCTAACCACTTCGGCCACTAAGACGTATTGTTTTATGAAAGTTTTAAAACTATTTAATAAACAAGACTTTTTAAAAGCATATAAATGCTATAAATCAAAATTAAGGAAATGTTGATATATGTTCCTATACATACTATATACTATATATATACACTACATAATTTAAAGTTTACATAATATATATACTATATTAATTATGTAATGTATATATATAGTTTATATATTTACATATATATATACTATATATATACATTACATAATTTAAAGTTTACATAAGTTAGATAACTAAATACACTTTTGTTCACATTTTTTGATACAAAAAGTGGTGCGACATTTTCTTGCCATTAGCTCGGGTGTAATGGCTGCCATGACTTCCTTGTCAAACACCCACAAATGAGTAACGGCAGCAGTATGAAATTCAGTATTAAAATATTATATGATTAGCAGCATTTGTCATGTTTGAAAAATTATGTTTATTTTGAAATATTTTTTAGCTGATACCTATGCAATATAACTCTCAACAAATATACATGCATACAATAATAATAATAATAATAATAATAATAATTAAAAAAAAAATCTCTAAACTAGAGTAATTTTGATATTAATCCCAAAGCAACAATTATTTTAAAAATCCAAAAATGATTAATTTAACCATGTAAACTCATAGACTGCTAAAAGCTTTTAAACAAGACTTTTTCTGATGAATCTTTTTTTTTATTTAGTGCAACAGTTGCTGCGAATGATTAGAATGTTAGTGCAACAGTTGCTGCGAATGATTAGAATGTTAGTGCAACAGTTGCTGCGAATGATTAGAATGTTAGTGCAACAGTTGCTGCGAATGATTAGAATGTTAGTGCAACAGTTGCTGCGAATGATTAGAATGTTAGTGCAACAGTTGCTGCGAATGATTAGAATGTTGGGAATGAAGGGTTTTACTCAAGTGACCCTGAGAATGTTTCAGATCTAAAGTACGAATTCAAAAGTAAAGTACTGATACGACTTGTGATTATTCCCAAAAAAATAAAAAGAGTTCTCCAGTTAATGCAATGTAATTAAATTTCTTTTCAAAAGAATTTGGCGCAAATAAATTCTTAATTACATTTAATTTACCAGCAATACAAATTTTGACAAGAAATTTTTCTGCTCATAAAAAAAAACAAAAAAAAAACAATAACATGGAATCCACTTCTCTTTTGTCTTTGATTTTTATTATTTGTTCTCTTTATATTTTTGTTCTTTATATAATGTTCATATTTTCTCTGTTTCTATAAGCAGGTTGTATCTCATTTTTCAACAAAGAAGGCCATGGTCGCAGCTCAAGCAAGCTATCATCACTTGTTTCATCAAACAAAATTCATCTTTTCATAAGGTGACCATATTTGAAAAATATCAAACGTGTACAAGGAATAAATTTGGTATGTATAAATACAAATGGTATTTAAATCAGGCCCATAGCCTGATTTAATTACCATTCAAACAAGACAAATTGCAAGAGAGCACTTGCCCCCATTGCTCCTGCCCTGCCTTTGGGCTTGGTTTAAATGGGTTTTACTAAAAACTCGTTTATTTATTTTATAATAGCATGCGAAGAAACTAAATTATGGAAAAAATATTAAAAAATATTTGCATATTTAAATCACAAATATTTTTCATAATAATGAAATGTTTCCAGCAACATGTTATCTTTTTCAAATTTTTCTGCAAATTCTTAGCAACAATATTTTCTTAAATTAAATTTAACAAACAAAATAGCTGCCAAAGTTTTCATTGTAAGTTGGGATTTCACTTCTGTCCAAATACCATTGGCAATTGAAAACAATTGCTCTACGGAAGCGTTTATACCTGGCAAACTTAGAACGGCTTACACCAATTTTAACAAATTACTATTAGGGACGTTATTATTTTTGAAATAAGAAAAAATTTCAATCCATCGCTTGTCAGATTTAACAGACTGTGAGTTCCAAGAAGAAAACTTTTCCTTTGTACATTAGTTCTCCTAATTTCGTCTAACAATTCATTGTCATTTAATATGATTTTTATTGATATTTTCAAAAAAGTTATAGTTTCAATAATTTCAATTTATTTATCTTTACAGTTAACTAAAGACCATTTAAAAACTTTAACCTGATTAAAGTGACAGCTCCACTCATCTATATACTCTAGAAAGACACTGTAAAAAATTTTTTAAAAATCTTTGGTAACTTGCAAATGCAGCCTTACCATGAAAGGTAGAAATTTTTCTTCTTTTCTAGATTTTATCTGGTTTTTCAAATCCTTTAATACTACGGCAACTTCAGCAGCAGAAATGTCATCTTTCTTATTTTGTTTTACCATGTTATAAAAAACATTGGCTTGACTGTGAACAAAAAACAATGCTATTTTTTCTAATTTCTTTATTAAAAAAATCAAATAAAAGTTTTAGACAATTTTCTAAGCTTAAAAAGTATAATATTAGTGGCTGATATAACTTAAGCACTTTTTCGATAGTCGGAAGTAAGGCCAACCAAAGAACTTTTGAGAATCATAGCAACTTTTGATATTCCACACCGGCCTCAGCACAGAATTTTTTTAAAATAGAACAGGAAAACAGTAAAAAAAAAAAAAAAATGGAGTAATAATTATCTCCACATTAATAAATAAACAACCATATGCAGTCAACGAATGAGACTTAGCTGAATGACGAGTAAAACAAGAATTTTAGTTAAGGGAACTAGAGATGATAACTCCTTTGAGCAGTGACCATGATAGTATTTGTAGAAAAGAGAAAGAGATGCAACTTTATGACGATGGGAAAGAGGCTCAAGCTTAGCAGATAATCCAGGTCCAACAACATTTACAATGCATTTTTGGACCTTGTCAAGAAGAGAAAGTGAATCGTTAGAAGAACCAGCCCAAATATGACAACAATATTCCATACAGGGACGAATATGAGATTTGTAGAGGTAGAGAATAAAATCAGAAGTAAGGAAATGGCGAGCACGATAAAGAGAAGCAACCTTAGCAAAAGCTAATTTAGCAATCAATTGTATATATGGTTTCCATGAAAGGTCAGTAGTAGGCGATAACCCAAGAAGACGTAAAGAGGAGGACTCAGTAAGAGGATTGCCATTCATTAATATAGGAATGTTGACCATATTACGGTAGTTGTTTGCAGTAAACAACCGGGTTTTGTTAGAGTTGAAATTCACAAGCCACTGTGAACCCCGATCTATTACTGAAGTGAGATCGAATTCAAGATCAGCTGCTTGTTCTAGGCGATCAAAAAGAGAAGACTTTTTGTCAAGACAGGAGTATAAAGTTGAGTCATCAGCAAAAAGAGCTACTTTAGATGAAAGGTTGTCAGGAAGATTGCTTATGTAGATAAGAAACAAAACAGGGCCCATGATGGAACCTTGGGGAACCCCAGAAGTTACTGGAAATAAAGAAGAGTGTTAGCCTTCAAGGATGACTTTAATAAACCGGTTAGAAAGAAATGATTTGATAATCACAAAAACTTTCCTTGAAACACCATATGAAGCAAGCTTATGGAGAAGACCAGCATGCCAAACTTTGTCGAAAGCTTTAGATATGTCAAGAGCAATAGCCCTAGCCTCACCGCCTCCATCTAATGCACGATAAAATCTTTCAGTTACAGCAGTTAGCAAGTCGGCCGTAGAGCGAGAGGATTGAAAACCGTATTGATTGTCTGACAGTAGCTTATTTGACTCAAGATGAGATGTGAGGAATTTGTTGATCAAAGACTCAAAGACCTTGCTAATAACAGAAAGAAGACTGATCGGACAATAATTGGAGGGGTCAGAATTTTCTCCAAAGTTTTTGAATATTGGAACCACAGATGCCATTTTCCAACAAGCAGGAAAACAAGACTCAGTCAAACACTTGTTAAATAGTTTAGAGAGAATTGAAGAAAGTTCTGGAAAACAATTCTGCAAGACTGTGACAGGAATGTTGTCTGACCACAAGCTGTAGACAAGTTTAATTGAGATATGACTTTAGCAACAGAAGCCGGAGTG